CGCTGTGCCCATTATGAGGGGCTTCCACCATCCCTGTGCTGAGTTCCCGGGTCTCTACACCCGCTGTGCCCATTATGAGGGGTTCCCGCCATCCCTGTGTTGAGTTCCCAGGTCTGTACACCCGCTGTGCCCATTATGAGGGGTTCCCACCACCCCTGTGCAGAGTTCCCCGGGTCTGTACACCCGCTGTGCCCATTATGAGGAGTTCCATCTCTGCACTGAGAAGGTGGAGACCCCATAAATCTTAGGTGGGCAGTAATGAAGTCAGGAATTTTGTCGGGACATCTCCCTGTTGGGCCATCCAGGACATATAAGAAGGATGAAGCCCACCATGCTCCACTTAGAACTGGAATATGACTTTTGGGTGGGCACAAGGCCCTTTAGCAGTCAAGGCAAAAAAAAAAAAAAAAGCAGAAATGCCCCTCCCCCATTAGTTGTGACCTACGTCTGCAGGTTGTGGCAGGTCCAGCTCTTTTTGTACCCCCCTGCTCAGCCCACCTCCTGGCCCATACAGGAACATTGTCATCCTGAGAACTGTCCTGGTCCCTAGGAGGACCCCCCCCCCATACATTACATTGTACAGTTGGGGGGTTTGTGTTGTCTCTGACCTCCAGTATGTTGCACAATGCTGATCACAGAGTCAGCCGGTCCTTGGAGCCAGGATTGTGCAATCTGGGCAAAAGTTCTAACTTTAATATTGTTTCCCCTTTCAGGAGAAGGGGGGGTCCTTTCAGGAGAAGAAGGGGGGGGGGGGGGTCCTGGCCTCCTCGACCCCCCATCCATCCATCCATCCATCCATGAGATGAAGACTGCGGCTGAGATGGTGCCAGAGGGTTCTGGGCTGGAGGTCCTCACAATACCACAAACCCCAAATGAGAACAGCGACCCCAGAGAGGATTCTGGGAGTTGCGCCAACATCAGACACATCTGTGTCCAAGTCATGTGACCTCCTCAGACCGACGCTGTACTGGGTGAGGACATAGAACAGATGGTGGGATCGGAGGATCGGGGTGGCCGTGTGTGGGATCCTCTCCGACCCACAAGGTAAGTGGATTCCCTGCCCGGGGGACGTGTTACTTTAAAGGTCGCTACTGTGGGCAGGCTGTGCAATGACCCCTTCCAACCAATCACAGCGCACGGGAGATAAGGGGAGATTTACTACAGCTGGAGCACTCAGAATCTGGTGCAGCTGTGCGAGGGAGCCAATCAGCTTCTACCTTCACCTTGTTCAATGAAGCTTTGGCAATAAAACCTGCAAGCTGATTGGTTACTATGCAGAGCTGCCCCAGATCATTTTACAGTCTCCAGTTTTAGTAAATCTCCCCCGTTACATATGTAACATTGTATATACGTCATATGTAACATGTATAGGACACCCTCCTCTGTGTCATGGGACATCCGGGGTACTAACAGCATATGGGAGATAATGTTACATTGTATACGTCATATGTAACATGTATAGAACACCCTCCTCTGTGTCATGGACCATCCGGGGTACTAACAGCGTGTGGGAGATAATGTTACATTGTATACGTCGTATGTAACATGTATAGAACACCCTCCTCTGTGTCATGGGACATCCGGGGTGCTAACAGCATGTGGGAGATAATGTTACATTGTATACGTCATATGTAACATGTATAGAACACCCTCCTCTGTGTCATGGGACATCCGGGGTGCTAACAGCATGTGGGAGATAATGTTACATTGTATACGTCATATGTAACATGTATAGGACACCCTCCTCTGTGTCATGGGCCATCCGGGGTACTAACAGCATATGGGAGATAATGTTACATTGTATACGTCATATGTAACATGTATAGAACACCCTCCTCTGTGTCATGGGCCATCCGGGGTGCTAACAGCGTATGGGAGAGATTGTTACATTGTATACGTCGTATGTAACATGTATAGAACACCCTCCTCTGTGTCATGGGCCATCCGGGGTACTAACAGCGAATGGGAGATAATGTTACATTGTATACGTCGTATGTAACATGTATAGAACACCCTCCTCTGTGTCATGGGACATCCGGGGTACTAACAGCATATGGGAGATAATGTTACATTGTATACGTCATATGTAACATGTATAGAACACCCTCCTCTGTGTCATGGACCATCCGGGGTACTAACAGCGTGTGGGAGATAATGTTACATTGTATACGTCATATGTAACATGTATAGAACACCCTCCACTGGAACATCCCCCCTCTGTGTCATGGGCCATCCGGGGTACTAACAGCGTATGGGAGATAATGTTACATTGTATACGTCGTATGTAACATGTATAGAACACCCTCCTCTGTGTCATGGGCCATCCGGGGTACTAACAGCGTATGGGAGATAATGTTACATTGTATACGTCGTATGTAACATGTATAGAACACCCTCCTCTGTGTCATGGGCCATCCGGGGTACTAACAGCGTATGGGAGATAATGTTACATTGTATACGTCGTATGTAACATGTATAGGAACATCCTCCTCTGTGTCATATGGAAATATATTGAATACTGCCAAAATTGTAGCATTTCAAATATATGTCCATATATTTGGGAAGAATATTTTTAAATTATATTTCAGATATATCATATGGGGTGACCTGGGCTCAGAGGAAGCGGGTTGAATGATTGCTGGCCATCAGACTGAGGACATCTAGTGTTAGGAAAGAACTACTGCAGGGGGGAAATATCTGGGCTGAAGAATGAATACGCAGGAAAGTTTGGTTTGGCGATTGTACATTTGTACATTTTAATGAGTATTTCTATGTTGTTCCTCTTTGCTGGAGTCCGGATATCGGTTAGAGGAAACGAATCTTCACGCAGCTCAGCCTCGGAGTCATCACATCGGTCATTTTAAATGGTTTTAGGAGCCCAGATGATCTGAATGCCTTTCTGCTCCTGGGGGAAGGTGTTCCTGCTGTGAGTGGATATTCCAGCGATCATCAGGAGCAGAATACGTCCCTCTATATTAGGAGCACACAGGGTCTCACGGTTTAAAAGTATTTTTCAAAAGAAAATGAAAAATTGTAACTGCTAAAGAAACGTTGTCCGGAGTCAGGTTTTCATTTGTTTATCTCTTGAAGTCCATTTAAAACTCTCCTTTCATCTAAAACCACTCTGTCCACAGGGTGACAACGCTGCCGTGCGATTTCACTGCAGAACAAAAAACGTTGTCACCCTGTTACAGGAAGTGGAAGGATTCAGGACCAGCAGGAAAAGACTGCTTTTGGAGGAGGGGGGTGTCCTGGGTCCTCATTGCTGACAGACTGCATCTTATATGCCACTTTAGTCATAGTTACACTTTAAAAGGCCAGTCCGTTGGCATCTGATCTCCCAGTGTGTGGTGGATGTCCAGTCATTTATTCTTCCTCTCCGGGGCCCGGTGGGGTCCTGCAGCGCTCTCCAATCATTGGAAGTTCTCTATTTCATCTTAGAATACATTGTTGTTGTTGCTGAGAGAAGTGCGGAGAGGAACATCTGGGTGACTTCCTCGGGAAGTTATCTGTTCCAGTTTCTGGAGGATTTTTTGTTTCTTGGAGAAGTGAAACCCCTTGTGGCCTTGCAGATATACACAGTGTACAGAACTTATTATTGGATCGGAGAGCAGCTGAGCCTCAGGATCATGAAACAGAGTGCGATAAAACAGCAACCAAAAAAAGATACAAAACATCAATAAAAAGATACAAAAACAGCAACCAAAATAGATACAAAAACAGCAACCAGAATACATACAAAACATCACTAAAAAGATACAAAAACAACAACAAAAAGATACAAAAACAACAAAAAGAAACAAAAACAAAAAGATTTAAAGAAACCCCAAAAGATACAAAAAACAAGAAAAAGACACAAAAAAAGCAGAAAAAAGATTAAAAAAAAAACCCTAAAAGATACAAAAAAACAAGAAAAAGACACAAAAACAAACAAGAAAAAAGATTTAAAAAACAAAAAAAGATACAAAAAACAAGAAAAAGACAAAAAAAAAAAAAAAAACAGAAAAAGATTACAAAAAAACAAAAAAAACCCAAAAAAAGAAAAAGATAAAAAAACCCCCCCCAAAAGATAAAAAAAAAAAGAAAAAGACACAAAAACAAACAAAAAAAAATTTAAAAAACAAAAAAAAGATACAAAAAACAAGAAAAAGACAAAAAAAAAGAAAAAGATTTAAAAAAAAAACCCCAAAAGATACAAAAAAAACAAGAAAAAGACACAAAAACAAACAAACAAAAATTTAAAAAACAAAAAAAGATACAAAAAATAAAACCCCAAAAGATACAAAAAAAAAGAAAAAAGACACAAAAAAAAACTGAAAAAAAGATTAAAAAAACAAAAAAAAAGATACAAAAAAAACAAGAAAAAGACACAAAAACAAAACAAGAAAAAAGATTTAAAAAAACAAAAAAAGATACAAAAAACAAGAAAAAGACACAAAAAACAGAAAAAGATTTAAAAAAAAACCCCCAAAAGATACAAAAAAACAAGAAAAAGACACAAAAACAAACAAGAAAAAAGATTTAAAAAACAAAAAAAATACAAAAAACAAGAAAAAGACACAAAAAATCAGAAAAAGAATAAAAAAAAAACCCCAAAAGATACAAAAAAACAAGAAAAAGACACAAAAACAAACAAGAAAAAAGATTTAAAAAACAAAAAAAATACAAAAAACAAGAAAAAGACACAAAAAATCAGAAAAAGAATAAAAAAACCCCCCAAAAGATACAAAGAAAAAGACACAAAAACAAACAAAAAGATTTAAAAAACAAAAAAAAGATACATAACAAAAAGATTAAAAAAAGTTACAAAACAGCAACACAAAGATAAAAAAACAAACAAAACTAAAAAGATACAAAACAGCAACAAGGAGTTCTTCCAAATGGATCAGAATGCAAAAAAAAAAAAAAAAAACAACTAGAAAAAGATAAAGCAATGACAAAAAGATACAAAAACAAGAAGGATTTCTGTTAAACTGATCAGCGGTGATGTTGTCTTTCAGATGAGCGGAGGGACAGTGAGGGAGACCAGCCTCGTCCAGCAGACCTGTGCTCTGCTGCGGAAGAATCTTCTGGTACAATGGAGGCGGCTGGGACATGTAGTGCTGGTGAGTAAACCATGAACGGGGGCAATCCTGTGGGTGTTGGTTGGAAGCGCCCCCCAAAGGAGAGAACAATGGAAGTTGCTGTTGCTGATCTTTCCTTTCCAAAAATACATTTTTGGTGGCAGGGTCACTTTATTGGCATTAAAGCGCAACTCCAGCCAAAACCTTTTTTTTTTTTTACTTCAACAGAATTCAATCAAAGTTTCATCCATTTTTTTTGCGCTCTATGTCCATAATAGTGAGAATTCCCCTTTACTTCCTGTCTCGGTGACAACAAGGCAAGAGATGTCAGGGTGGGGGTGTCACCAGGGCAGAAAGACACAAAGGGGTTTATTCACTAAAGCCGGTCCGCTCAGAATCTGGTGCAGCTGTGTGTGGCGGCCAATCAGCTTCCAATCTCCACTTGTTCAATGAAGCTTTAGCAATAAAACCTGGAAGCTGATTGGTTTCTGTGCAGAAGTGCAGGAGATTCGCAGCGAAGCAGCTTTAGTAAATAAATCTCACACAGAGCAACAAAGGATGACAGAGATTCTCTCACAAGCCACTCTAAATCAATATGGTTTGTTGCCTTCTCTTCCCTTTATCACTTCCACCCACGTGACACCCTGTCCCCAGGACAGGAAGTTGTCAAGTTCCCCTATGGGGACACAGGAATAAACACCTTTCACCCACCGCTGCCAAATGTTTGATGCTCTGCATGGTCCAAGCCCTTTGTGTAAGGCTAGGTTCACACCTATGCAGGTTGCGCTTCAGTCGTTTCTGCATTGCGTTTTTGACGTGTTTTTGATGCATTTTGTGTTTTTGTTTCTTGTTGCTAGGCAGATTTTAACAAAATGCATCAAAAATGTGGCAAAAACACAGCAAACACCTATTACATGCTTTTCTGCGTTTCCACTGACGTCTATAGAACCAAAAACGCAACTTTTTTTTGCATTCAAAAAAGCCCATTTCCAAAAAAGCACCGGGTGAAAAAGCGCAGAAGTGAACCTGTCCCCTAGGAAATCGCGTTGAATGGACTGTACTGCGTTTCCACAAAATGCTGCAGAAAACGCTTACGTGTGAACCTGGGGTACCTCTCTTCCCTCAGACGCTTAGGTGTGAATCTGGGGGACGTCTCTTCCCTCAGACTCTTAGGTGTGAACCTGGGGGACGTCTCTTCCCTCAGACGCTTAGGTGTGAACCTGGGGGATGTCTCTTCCCTCAGAGGCTTAGGTGTGAACCTGGGGGACTTCTCTTCCCTCAGACGCTTAGGTGTGAACCTGGGGGACGTCTCTTCTCTCAGACGCTTAGGTGTGAACCTGGGGGACCTCTCTTCCCTCAGACGCTTAGGTGTGAACCTGGGGGACGTCTCTCCCTCAGACGCTTAGGTGTGAACCTGGGGGACGTCTCTTCCCTCAGACGCTTAGGTGTGAACCTGGGGGACATCTCTTCCCTCAGACGCTTAGGTGTGAACCTGGGGTACCTCTCTTCCCTCAGATGCTTAGGTGTGAACCTGGTGGACGTCTCTTCCCTCAGATGCTTAGGTGTGAACCTGGGGGACATCTCTTCCCTCAGATGCTTAGGTGTGAACCTGGTGGACGTCTCTCTTCCCTCAGATGCTTAGGTGTGAACCTGGGGTACCTCTCTTCCCTCAGACGCTTGGGTGTGAACCTGGGGGACATCTCTTCCCTCAGATGCTTAGGTGTGAACCTGGTGGACGTCTCTTCCCTCGGACGCTTAGGTGTGAACCTGGGGTACCTCTCTTCCCTCAGACGCTTAGGTGTGAACCTGGGGGATGTCTCTTCCCTCAGATGCTTAGGTGTGAACCTGGGGGACGTCTCTTTTTCCTCAGACTCTTAGGTGTGAACCTGGTGGACGTCTCTTCCCTCGGACGCTTAGGTGTGAACCTGGGGTACCTCTCTTCCCTCAGACCCTTAGGTGTGAACCTGGGGGACCTCTCTTCCCTCAGACGCTTAGGTGTGAACCTGGGGTACCTCTCTTCCCTCAGACGCTTAGGTGTAAACCTGGGGGATGTCTCTTCCCTCAGACGCTTAGGTGTGAACCTGGGGGACGTCTCTTCCCTCAGAGGCTTAGGTGTGAACCTGGGGGACGTCTCTTCCCTCAGACGCTTAGGTGTGAACCTGGGGGACGTCTCTTCCCTCAGACGCTTAGGTGTGAGCCTGGGGTACCTCTCTTCCCTCAGACGCTTAGGTGTAAACCTGGGGGATGTCTCTTCCCCTCAGACGCTTAGGTGTAAACCTGGGGGATGTCTCTTCCCTCAGACGCTTAGGTGTGAACCTGGGTGACGTCTCTTCCCTCAGAGGCTTAGGTGTGAACCTGGGGGACGTCTCTTCCCTCAGACGCTTAGGTGTGAACCTGGGGTACCTCTCTTCCCTCAGATGCTTAGGTGTGAACCTGGTGGACGTCTCTTCCCTCAGACGCTTAGGTGTGAACCTGGGGTACCTCTCTTCCCTCAGACGCTTAGGTGTGAACCTGGGGGACGTCTCTTCCCTCAGACACTTAGGTGTGAACCTGTTGTACCTCTCTTCCATCAGATGCTTACATGTGAACCTGGGGGACCTCTCTTCCCTCAGACGCTTAGGTGTGAACCTGGGGGACGTCTCTTCCCTCAGACGCTTACGTGTGAACCTGGGGGTAGCCTCTTCCCTCAGACGCTTAGGTGTGAACCTGGGGGACGTCTCTTCCCTCAGACATAAACCATTTGGATCATTGGTTTTATACAAACAGCCCTGATGAAGGGTGCAGTTCCCTCGAAACATGTTGGCTTTCCACCTCTCTCCGTAAACACACCAGTGATTAGAATTCATCCGCCAGCCTTTTGCTATGGAGGAGTTCAGCTGAGCGTTCACGAAATTGATGTTTGTGCTTTTTAGCAATAAAAACCCAACAAATGTTCCAACCCGACACCTCTGTGTGCAAAATTAAGTAGAACTGTTTGGCTGTTTAGGTTCACCGACAGGAAAAAGACAGAAAGGAAGACATAAAGGGTTCTACAGGGAAGAGAGGGGAGGGGTGGAGGAGCTGGGCCAGCTTGCAGAGCGATCAGACACTCCCAGAAGAGGAAAGGGGCTATGATGTACAAGGGAGGGCGGGGGGTGGCCGGGCTGGCAAGCTGACTGTTCCTGGAGTTGTCACATTTCCTTGAAAGTTCAAAGTCATTTTGCTTGTCAATAAAAAATGATTACACAATATCAAACCAACATTTTGGAGCCTCTCAGGACCCTTTCATCAGGCATGTGACCCAATATTTCGGGGTCTCATAGGACCCCCTCATCAGGCATGTGACCAATGTTTAGTAACCTCATAGAACCCCCTCATCAGGCATGTGAAAAACATTTCAGAGTCTCATAGGTCCCCCTCATCAGGCTGTGACCAACATTTCAGAGCCTCATAGAACCCCTTCATCAGGCATGTGACCAACGTTTCAGAGCCTCATAGAACCCCTTCATCAGGCATGTGACCAACATTTCAGCGCCTCATAGAACCCCTTCATCAGGCATGTGACCAACATTTCAGAGTCTCATAGGTCCCCCTCATCAGGCTGTGACCAACATTTCAGAGCCTCATAGAACCCCCTCATCAGGCATGTGACCAACATTTCAGAGCCTCATAGAACCCCTTCACCAGGCATGTGACCAACGTTTCAGAGCCTCGTAGGACCCCCTCATCAGGCATGTGACCAACGTTTCAGAGACTATTAGAACCCTTTTATCAGGCATGTGACCAACGTTTCAGAGCCTCATAGAACCCCTTCATCAGGCATGTGACCAACGTTTCAGAGCCTCATAGAACCCCTTCATCAGGCATGTGACCAACATTTCAGCGCCTCATAGAACCCCTTCATCAGGCATGTGACCAACGTTTCAGAGCCTCATAGAACCCCTTCATCAGGCATGTGACCAACGTTTCAGAGCCTCATAGAACCCCTTCATCAGGCATGTGACCAACGTTTCAGAGCCTCATAGAACCCTTTCATCAGGCATGTGACCAACGTTTCAGAGCCTCATAGAACCCCTTCATCAGGCATGTGACCAACGTTTCAGAGCCTCATAGAACCCCTTCATCAGGCATGTGACCAACGTTTCAGAGCCTCATAGAACCCCTTCATCAGGCATGTGACCAACGTTTCAGAGCCTCATAGAACCCCTTCATCAGGCATGTGACCAACGTTTCAGAGCCTCGTAGGACCCCCTCATCAGGCATGTGACCAACATTTCAGAGACTATTAGAACCCTTTCATCAGGTATGTGACCAACATTTCAGAGACTATTAGAACCCTTTCATCAGGCATGTGACCAACGTTTCAGAGCCTCATAGAACCCCTTCATCAGGCATGTGACCAACGTTTCAGAGCCTCATAGAACCCCTTAATCAGGCATGTGACCAACGTTTCAGAGCCTCATAGAACCCCTTCATCAGGCATGTGACCAACGTTTCAGAGCCTCGTAGGACCCCCTCATCAGGCATGTGACCAACATTTCAGAGACTATTAGAACCCCTTAATCAGGCATGTGACCAACGTTTCAGAGCCTCATAGAACCCTTTTATCAGGCATGTGACCAACATTTCAGCGCCTCATAGAACCCCTTCATCAGGCATGTGACCAACATTTCAGAGCCTCATAGAACCCCTTCATCAGGCATATGACCAACGTTTCAGAGCCTCATAGAACCCCTTCATCAGGCATGTGAGAGACCAACGTTTCAGAGCCTCATATAGAACCCCTTCATCAGGCATGTGACCAACGTTTCAGAGCCTCATAGAACCCCTTAATCAGGCATGTGACCAACGTTTCAGAGCCTCATAGGACCCCCTCATCAGGCATGTGACAAACGTTTCAGAGCCTCATAGAACCCCTTCATCAGGCATGTGATCAACGTTTCAGAGCCTCGTAGGACCCCCTCATCAGGCATGTGACCAACGTTTCAGAGCCTCATAGAACCCCTTCATCAGGCATGTGACCAACGTTTCAGAGCCTCATAGAACCCCTTCATCAGGCATGTGACCAACGTTTCAGAGCCTCATAGAACCCCTTAATCAGGCATGTGACCAACGTTTCAGAGCCTCATAGGACCCCCTCATCAGGCATGTGACAAACGTTTCAGAGCCTCATAGAACCCCTTCATCAGGCATGTGATCAACGTTTCAGAGCCTCGTAGGACCCCCTCATCAGGCATGTGACCAACGTTTCAGAGACTATTAGAACCCTTTCATCAGGCATGTGACCAACATTTCAGAGCCTCATAGGACCCCCTCATCAGGCATGTGACCAACATTTCAGAGACTATTAGAACCCTTTCATCAGGCATGTGACCAACGTTTCAGACCCTCGTAGGACCCCCTCATCAGGCATGTGACCAACGTTTCAGAGACTATTAGAACCCTTTCATCAGGCATGTGACCAACATTTCAGAAGTTCAAAGTCATGTTGTAAGTCAATAAGAAATGATTAAACGATATCAAACCAGCGCTACAAAGACTTTGGTCTTTGAATTCTCACCAGACATCAAGACCCGTCACACATATGGGTCAAATAAAGCGTGGTGGGATTATTTTTAATGTGTGTCTTGTTCCACCTATTTCTTCTCTTCCTCAAGCCATAGTTTCCTCCAGCAAGAAAGCAATAAACAAACAATGTGTGTACATGTATGTATATTTTTATATATATATATACAGTACAATATATACATGCACACACACACACAAAGTCACCATTTTTCTCAGTAAATAGTGTATTTCTGAGGGTGCTATAGACATTAAATGTTCACCACATGTCAGTAACAACCCATACAATCCATACACATAAAGAAACCAAAACAAATACATTCAAAAAGTTATGTGTAATAAAATGGAATGACAGAGGGAAAGAGTATTGAACACATTAACTGAAATGTATTTAATACTTGGTACAAAATCCTGTGTTGGTAAGGACCGCTTCAAGACACACTCTTGAATGGAGAAACTATATATTGAGTTGGCCCCGCCCTTTGCAGCTATAACAGCTTCAACTCTTCTGGGAAGGCCATCCACAAGGTTTAGGAGGGTGTCTATGGGAAGGTTGGACCATTCTTCCAGAAGCACATTTGTCAGGTCAGGCACTGATGTCGGGGGAGGAGGCCTGGCTCGCAGTCTCCGCTCTAATTCCTCCCAAAGGTGTTCTATGGGGCTGAGGTCAGGACTCTGTGCAGGACAGTCAAGTTCCTCCACCCCAAACTGGCTCCTCCATGTCTTTATGGACCTTGCTTTGTGTACTGGTGCTCAGTCATGTTGGAACAGGAAGGGGCCATCCCCAAACTCCTCCCACAAAGTTGGGAGCATGAAATTGTCCAAAATGTCACCTTAAGAGTTCCCTTCACTGGAACTAGGGGGCCAAGCCCCAACCCCTAAAAAACAACAACCCCACACCATAATCCCCCCCCTCCACCAAACTTTACACTTGGCACAATGCAGTCACGCAAGTACCGTTTTCATGGCAAACGCCAATCCCAGACACGTCCATTGGATTGCCAGACAGAGAAGCGTGATTGGTCACTTCAGAGAACACGTCTCCCCTGCTCTAGAGTCCAGTGGCGGTGTGCTTTACACCACGGCATCCGACGCTTTGCATTGCACTTGGTGGTGGAAGTCTTGAATGCAGCTGCTCGGCCATGGAAACCCATTCCATGAAGCTCTCTACACACTGTTGTTGGGCTCAACTGAAGGCCCACACCAAGTTTGGAGGTCTTTAGCTATTGACTCTGCAGACAGTTGGCGACTTGTCATAGCGTTACTCCTAATTCTGATAGTGGTGACCCCATGTTTGGTTTTGCAGGAGTGGCTCCAGCATTTGACGCTGGTCTTCCTGCTATTCTTGGTGATGTCACCCAGAGATGATTCAGACCAGAGTATGTACTCACCGGCCAAGGTTCTAGGGCGTCTGATGGATTCAACAACAAGAGTTTTCCAGTTGGCTACATCCCTACAACCCCGGCTGTCCAGGACATAATGCAGAGGGTCAACAGAAGCACCATCATCCCAGGTAAGATCAGTTGGAAGCTGAGCATGGTGCTCCTCTCCAGTGAATGAGGAGTGTATGGGGGTCACCAGAGGGCCTGACTGCTTTGTTAAATGTTTTAGTTCCGGATCGAGTGTTATATGTGTGTACAAAGCTGGGAGTGAGAATTACCCCCGCTAATAAATGTATGGAAATAACAAAAGTCCTAATTCCTCCTTCCAGAAATATCGGTGCAGGAATTTCAAAATACTTCTGACCTCCTGAATTCAGTTGATGAGAACCAGGTCGGTGTGGAATTTGAGACTGAGTTTACATATTATATCAGATATGATCTGTACACCATCTACAGGCCCAATGACTACCTGGCTCATAGAGGTAAGAGGACATCTAGACTATCTTCTGCAGAGTGATGGAGGTCTGTCTCTGTTTCTACGTCTTAAGTCCTCTTCTTGTCGGCAAATCATTATCATGCTGCAACCTTCATCCTGCCACTTCCTTTTTTTTATTTGCATGAAAGTCTACTTCATCTTTTCTCAACCATTTTACCCCAGAGCAACCCATAAATCATTTTCAGGTTTCAGGGAACCCCTACTAAACCAAGTCATTGGGGGGTCAAGAGGGAAAATGCCCCTTACGTTGGTGATCAGTAGAAAGAGTGCTCCTGACATCAGTGGTTATTGTAAAAATGTACCTTTCATTGGTAGTCCATGGGAAGAATACTGCTTATGTTGGTGGTCAGTGGGAAGAATGCCCCTTACATTGGGGATCAGTGGGAAGAATGCCCCTTACATTGGTGGTCAGTGGGAAGAATGTCCCTTACATTGGGGGTCAGTGGGAAGAATGTCCCTTACATTGGTGATCAGTGGGAAGAATGTCCCTTACATTGGGGGTCAGTGGGAAGAATGCCCCTTACATTGGGGGTCAGTGGGAAGAATGTGCCCCCTTACATTGGGGGTCAGTGGGAAGAATGTCCCTTACATTGGGGATCAGTGGGAAGAATGTCCCTTACATTGGGGGGTCAGTGGGAAGAATGTCCCTTACATTGGTGGTCAGTGGGAAGAATACTGCTTATGTTGGGGGTCAGTGGGAAGAATGTCCCTTACATTGGGGGTCAGTGGTCAGTGGGAAGAATGTCCCTTACATTGGGGGTCAGTGGGAAGAATGTCCCTTACATTGGGGTCAGTGGGAAGAATGTCCCTTACATTGGTGATCAGTGGGAAGAATGTCCCTTACATTGGTGGTCAGTGGGAAGAATGTCCCTTACATTGGTGATCAGTGGGAAGAATGCCCCTTACATTGGTGGTCAGTGGGAAGAATGTCCCTTACATTGGGGGTCAGTCAGTGGGAAGAATGTCCCTTACATTGGTGGTCAGTGGGAAGAATGTCCCTTACATTGGGGGTCAGTGGTAAGAATGTCCCTTACATTGGTGGTCAGTGGGAAGAATGTCCCTGGGAAGAACATTGGTGGTCAGTGGAAGAATGTCCCTTACATTGGGGGTCAGTGGGAAGAATGTCCCTTACATTGGGGGTCAGTGGGAAGAATGTCCCTTACATTGGGGGTCAGTGGGAAGAATGCCCCTTACATTGGTGGTCAGTGGGAAAAATGTCCCTTACATTGGTGATCAGTGGGAAGAATGGCCCTTACATTGGGGGTCAGTGGGAAGAATGTCCCTTACATTGGGGGTCAGTGGGAAGAATGGCCCTTACATTGGGGGTCAGTGGGAAGAATGTCCCTTACATTGGGGGTCAGTGGGAAGAATGTCCCTTACATTGGTGATCAGTGGGAAGAATGTCCCTTACATTGGGGGTCAGTGGGAAGAATGTCCCTTACATTGGGGGTCAGTGGGAAGAATGTCCCTTACATTGGGGGTCAGTGGGAAGAATGCCCCTTACATTGGGGGTCAGTGGGAAGAATGTCCCTTACATTGGGGGTCAGTGGGAAGAATGTCCCCTTACATTGGTGATCAGTGGGAAGAATGGCCCTTACATTGGGGGTCAGTGGGAAGAATGTCCCTTACATTGGGGGTCAGTGGAAGAATGTCCCTTACATTGGGGGTCAGTGGGAAGAATGCCCCTTACATTGGGGGTCAGTGGGAAGAATGTCCCTTACATTGGTGGTCAGTGGGAAGAATACTGCTTATGTTGGTGGTCAGTGGGAAGAATGTCCCTTACATTGGTGGTCAGTGGGAAGAATGTCCCTTACATTGGGGTCAGTGGGAAGAATGTCCCTTACATTGGTGGTCAGTGGGAAGAATGTCCCTTACATTGGGGGTCAGTGGGAAGAATGTCCCTTACATTGGTGGTCAGTGGGAAGAATGTCCCTTACATTGGTGGTCAGTGGGAAGAATGTCCCTTACATTGGTGTCAGTGGGAAGAATGTCCCTTACATTGGGGGTCAGTGGGAAGAATGTCCCTTACATTGGGGGTCTTACATTGGGAAGTGGGATGTCCCTTACATTGGGGGTCAGTGGGAAGAATGCCCTTACATTGGGGGTCAGTGGGAAGAATGTCCCTTACATTGGGGGTCAGTGGGAAGAATGTCCCTTACATTGGGGGTCAGTGGGAAGAATGTCCCTTACATTGGGGTCAGTGGGAAGAATGTCCCTTACATTGGTGGTCAGTGGGAAGAATGTCCCTTACATTGGGGTCAGTGGGAAGAATGTCCCTTACATTGGGGGTCAGTGGGAAGAATGTCCCTTACATTGGGGGTCAGTGGGAAGAATGTCCCTTACATTTGGTCAGTGGAAGGTCCCTTCATTGGGGGTCAGGGAAGAATGTCCCTTACATTGGGGGTCAGTGGGAAGAATGTCCCTTACATTGGGGGTCAGTGGGAAGAATGTCCCTTACATTGGCGATCAGTGGGAAGAATGTCCCTTACATTGGTGGTCAGTGGGAAGAATGTCCCTTACATTGGGGGTCAGTGGGAAGAATGTCCCTTATATTGGGGTCAGTGGGAAGAATGTCCTTTACATTGGGGGTCAGTGGGGGGAATGTCCCTTATATTGGGGGTCAGTGGGAAGAATGTCCCTTATATTGGGGGTCAGTGGGAAGAATGTCCCTTATATTGGGGGTCAGTGGGAAGAATGTCCCTTACATTGGGGGTCAGTGGGAAGAATGTCCCTTACATTGGGGGTCAGTGGGAAGAATGTCCCTTACATTGGGGGTCAGTGGGAAGAATGTCCCTTACATTGGGGGTCAGTGGGAAGAATGTCCTTTACATTGGGGGTCAGTGGGGGGAATGTCCCTTACATTCAGCTAATCGTTTTCTTTGTCACTGGCAGGGTTGTATAACAGAAGTACTACTGGGTATAATGTTTAGCTTTTTTGTTTTATTATTTGGTTTCTGAAAAAGAAAACATGCAGAAAAAAATGGAAATAATTAGATGCAGTAAATCCTGTACTCGGGGTTTCTTGATTTTTTTATTTTTTTTTTCGGTGTACAAAATAGCCCTCAGCCTCATTACTTGGGAACAAGTTTGGAATCTCCAATTCATGGTGTTTTTTGTCTTTGCTCCCCCTGTGTTCCTCCAGGTCACTGTAGCAATTCAGAATTAAGCTGCAACCCCCTGAGGTACTGGAAATTTGGGTTCATCTCTTTACAAGCCAGCATTGACTCTGCCATTGTTGAGGTGAGTAAATGTGAATGCAGCTTCGCGGGGTGAACAGCGCTACATTTCATTGTTATAAATACACCCCTATGAGTCCTGATGACAGTTGTCACCGTACAACAAAACTTGAAGGGGAATACTTCCAGGGGCGGACTGACAACTCATGGGGCCCCCGGGCAATAAGGGACCATGGGGCCCCTGTGTCCTTGCCCAAACTCAGAAAAGCCAATGAAAAAGGTACCAGGGGCATCACATGGGGCCCCCTACTGACCCCGGGCCCTCGGGCAGTGCTTGAGTTTCCAAATAGTCAGTCCGCCCCTGCTTCCAGTGAGGTCACTGGTCTGAGAGGTGGGATTTCACTTTTTTAGGGAGTTTTGCACTTTCCAAAGAGATACACAACACAAACTTGCCGTTTTATGGATCTCTTACTCCCGGTACTCCCTTGCTTTAAATTACATAATAAAAACATCAAAATTGGCCATCTGTAACAAAAAAGAAAAAGTGAAATAACCAGAGAAAAAAAACAATATTTTGCAGAGGAACACCAAGCAGTCACTATGGGATGGGATGGCGGCCACAGAGGTGGTGAAGATGAAATCGGTGGTTTACACAGCAAAGACAATTCTGCACATGGGCACCATCATGTATGACATGAGCATGTGCTTCGTCTCGCTGTCCTATCTCATGACGCTGCAGATCACCCGGGAGAGGAGGAAAACCAGAGAGCTGATGAGGATGATGGGACTGAAGGATCTGGCGTTTTGGTGAGTGGCGTTGGTCTTCCCAGAATGAGTAGATTCTCCGTAGAGATCCTTTATGGAGGATAAAGAGCTCCAGGTAGGTGACTCTAGTGTAGGAGGAGGGGCATTGGCTTACTATGGCACAGCAGGGGTGGGGTGAGGGGTCACAGGTACTTGACAGGTAAAATTGTCCCTATTGGTTGGAGTTTTCCAGTCTTAGAAATTCTCATCCTCTTCTATTTCAGGTTGTCTTGGGTATTGCTGTACACCGTCAGTGTTTTCATCATCGCCACCCTCATGGCTTTGGTTACCACCACTTATGTGTTTGTGGAAAGTTCCTTTGGTGTTATTTTGCTACTTTTCTTCCTCTATGGAGTAGCAACAGTAAGTCTGGCTGATGTGTTTGGGCAAATATACGCTGTTATTCCTACAGCACACATTCAAGACGTTGTAAGCCCAATCACTACAATCTCAGCCAAGCTTTAACATGTTAATGTCTTTGCCAAGGTCATTTTAAAGTCACACCAAGAACATGCTTGTTCAGGCACTTCCTGTTATTTGGTGACAACTAGGTCTCAATATCCCAACTGTGTTCCTTCATCGTCAAATGGGCCTTCCAACACACATTGCACAGGCATACTCACGTGTTGTCACCATCAGGAAACCAGCTTTGGGAAATGCCATGCCACCGTCGCTGGAGTGCATGTAGACAGGAAGTGACAGTTGCCTTAGACCACGGCTTTATTTCTCAGAGAATAGCTGAAGGTACTCTCCCCTTCTTAGTCACCCTTTGTCTCCGCCCCCTACCCACCTCTGGGCTCCACCCTCTACCCACCTCCCAGCACAGTACAGAACCAAGAATCATTTTAAGTAATTTGTATGGAGGTTGTTAATATTAAGTAGTAAAACAGATCCTCAGCAACAATACACCCCCCTGCAACAATACACCCCCCCGCAACAAACCCCCCTCCCCCAGCAACAATACACCCCCTGCAACAAACCCCCCTCCCCCAGCAACAATAGACCTTGGCCAGCGACAATAGATCTCCCTACAGCCAGCAGCAATAGACCCTCCAGCAGCCAACAACAATAGACAACCCTACCAGCAACAATACACCCCCTGCAACAAACCCCCCCCCAGCAACAATACACCCCCTGCAACAAACCCCCCCAGCAACAATACACCCCCTGCAACAAACCCCCCTCCCCCAGCAACAATAGACCTTGGCCAGCGACAATAGATCTCCCTACAGCCAGCAGCAATAGACCCTCCAGCAGCCAACAACAATAGACAACCCTACCAGCAACAATACACCCCCTGCAACAAACCCCCCCCCCCCCCAGCAACAATACACCCCCTGCAACAACCCCCCCCCCCCAGCAACAATACACACCCCCTGCAACAAACCCCCCCCCCCCAACCAGCAACCCTTGGCAGCGACAATAGATCTCCCTACCCCAGCAATAGACCCTCCAACAGCCAACAACAATAGACACCCCCCCAGCAACGAAACAAGCAACAATAAACACCCCATAACACTGAACCCCCGCCGGCCAATAGAACTCCCAGCAACAATAGAAACCTCCTCAGCCCACCCCCTGCAACAAATAGCAACAATAGACCTTGGCCAGCGACAATAGATCTCCCTACAGCCAGCAGCAATAGACCCTCCAACAGCCAACAACAATAGACAACCCTCCCAGCAACGAAACAACCCCCCCGCAACAATAAATCGACCCCAGTAACACTGAACCCCCGCCGGCAACAATAGAACTCCCAGCAACAATAGACTTACCTCCTCAGCAACAATACACCCCCTGCAACAAACCCCCCTCCCCCAGCAACAATAGACCCTTGGCCAGTGACAATAGATCTCCCTACAGCCAGCAGCAATAGACCCTCCAGCAGCCAACAACAATAGACAACCCTCCCAGCAACAAACCCCCCCCCCCCCACAACAATAAATCGACCCCAGTAACACTAGACCCCCGCCAGCAACACCAGACTCTCCCAGTAACCAGCAACAATAGACTTCCCTCCCTAGCAACAATACACCCCCTGCAACAAAACAATTCCCCCCTCAACAATACACCCCCCAGGCAACAATAAATTGACCCCTGCAACACTAGTCCCCTACCAGCAACAATAGATCTCCCAGCAGCAATAGACCCTCCAGCAGCCAGCAACAATACACCCCCTGCAACAACACACCCCCCCCCCCCCCCCCAGGGTATTATGAAGGAATCCAACCTCACTGATTAATCCTTTACCTCCCCACCCCCAGGTCTGCTTTAACTGCATGCTGAGCGCCCTCCTCAGGAAGCACCGCCTGGCAGCGATTCTGGGATTTTTCAGCACTCTCTTCCTTGCTGCTCTGGGCCTCCTACCGCTGATGAACGCCATGCCCAGATCTCTGGAGGTCTTTCTGAGCATCTTCCACCCCTTCTCCTTCGCCGTCGGGATCTTGGAGGTAACAGTTTATTAATGTGAGCTTACACAGGGCTGAGGAACATCTCCCCACCCCCTACAGCACTGTGCCAATCACGAAGTCCCAGCACAGTCATGTGATAGGAAGGGGAGTAAGTGGTATGCCTATCTATACTATGTGGTACTGATCTTCTTCACTTGGCAGCTGAATGGAATAGCGGATGATTGAAAGAACGGTTCCTCAGGGGCGGGCACTAATGTAAACCTGTTGTCCTGCACTGCATGGGCAAAGCACCTGTTTGGTTTGATTACAGTCATGTCAAAAAATCTTGTCGTCCCCCCCCCCCCACCACTACTGCACCCAGAAGAAAATTGTTACAATGACAAATGTTTTCGCATTCTCAGGTTTATTTCTTTGGTTTGTATTGGTGACACAAAAAGGTGGAGAAACTAAAAGCCAAATCTGACACATGCAAAATCCCCAAAAATGGACTAGATTGGGGGGGGGGCAAGAGTTTTGGCCATGACCCACACACTTTAGTAAACACCTGCAATGTTTGGGATGGATTCTGGAATTGTTGGCCGGAGACCACTTGCACACCACCTGCCACAGAACTTTTACTGCGATAGGGCGGCAGCTACAGGCACAGCGACATACTGGTAAGTCGCTGCCTGCTTCCAGGTTTGGGGCCTCCCCATCCACATACTCCCCTGTGATTTGACACAGTGGGAGTTCATCAACCTGCTGGTCAGCTGTGTCCAATCATAGCACAGAGCTCTGTGTTGGTAAACAACACAGAGCTCTATACAGAGGAAATGAATGCTTTGTTTTTTTTGCACGGAAAAGAAACAAATCAATGTATAGTGAAAATCAGCACACAGTACACACTTCAACAATGATTAGGTGCAGAATTAACCCCCCGATTGCCCTTAAATGTTAACCCCTTCCCAGCCAGTGTCATTAGTACAGTTACAGTGTATATTTTAGCACTGATCACTGTATTAGTGTCACTGGTGATGTCATTTAGTCAGTGCCCACAGAGTGCCAGTTAGCATCAGATTGCCGTCCACACTATTATAGTTCCACTTTAAATTGCTAATCGCCTCCATTACCAGTGTAAAAAGTTAAATAAATAAATATTCCAGTATATATCCCACAGTTTGTGGATGCTATAACTTGCAAGCCAATCAATATACAATTAATGGGATTTTTTTTTTTTTTTACAAAAAACATGTAGCAGAAAGTACAACATAATGGGGGGTTTTTTTTTCAAAATTTACAGGTTTTTTTCCTTTAAATATTAAAAACTAAAAAACCCCAGTGGTGATCAAATATCACAGAAAGAAAGCTCTATTTGTGGGGAAAAAGTGATATAAATTTCATTTGGGTACAGCGTTGCATGACCGCTCAATTGTCAGTAGAAATAGCGCAATGCCGTATAGCAAAGAATGGCCTGGTTATCAAGGGGGTAAAACCTTCCGGAGCTGAAGTGGTTAAAATACAGCTTCTCTGTGTTCTTAGAGCATGCACATGGAAAATGACCTTCAAGGGGCCTACTTCTCGGACATCGGTGGTGACTCCTCCCACATACTCTCCAGCGCCATCTACCTGACTCTAGACTCCGTGCTTTATATCATCCTCGCTCTCTATTTCGACAAGATTATTCCAGGTGATGACAAACGGCTGATTTTTATTCTGGTCATTTAATGGTGGATCAAGGCGTCCTATTAACTGGTGGAAGAATGCCAGTTTGAGAGGCAGCTTGTGCCTTGACCAGGGGTGGACTGATCATTTGGAAATTTGGGCACTGCCCGAGGGCCCGGGGACAGTAGGGAGCCCCATGAGATGCCCCTGGTACCTTTTTCATAGGCTTTTTTGAGTTTGGGCAAGGACACAGGGGCCCCATGATCCCCTATTGCCCAGGGCCCCATAAGTTGTCAGTCCGCCCCTGGCCTTGACTTACCTTGGTCACTGTGATGTCACTCCTATGATGTCCTCTGCAAACTCTCTAGCGGTCCTTATTTAGTCCTCATGGCCTTGACTAGACTTGTCTTCTTTTGATGCCAGATAAACACGGAGTGAGACACGAGCCGTTGTTCTTCCTAAGACCTTCATTCTGGTCAAAGAAGAAGAAGATGACCAACATACTGGTTGGAGATGGAGAGCGCATAGAGGAGGACTTGGGGGACTATATAGAAAAAGTTCCCATTGAGTTTAGTGGGAAAAGAAGCAATCAGGTACTGGAGCTTCCAGTTCTCTCCATTGTAGAAGACATACACAGTAAGCACCTTAAATGAAGGAAAGTTGAAAAGGGATCTGGGGGTACTAACTAACAGCTCAGCAGCACTCAAGGCCAAGAGGCAACTGCAAAAGCAAATTAAGGGTCTGTGTCAAAGAACTGTTTCTCTGCTCATGCAAGTCAATGGGAAGGCCAAAGCAGCGTGAAGCGGGGCGGTGCAGCTTAGCAGCAGGTCAGATGCAGGTCAACTGCAGGTTCAATGAACCACGCATGACATCCCAAACTGTTGTCAAATTCAAGCATGCAGCATTTGCCCATTGAGACATGCCTAAAGCCTGTTGACATGGTTCCCAAATATCTGAGGAGGAACCCTGGTTGAGAATGGTTGATGTAAATTATGAATTTTAGTATCAGGTCATACATGTCCGCAGTCTGTTTCATGTAATTTCCTCTAAATCATCATCATCTTGTCCCTTCATATAGGATAAGTAATGTCAAGAAAATGTACAGCGGCAAGGACGAGAAGACAGAGGCGCTTCGAGGTGATCTAATTTCTGAACTGCTGCCTTCTCTTGTCTGTATTTTACATCCTATTGACGTCTGCTGTGTAGCTGAACGCTTCTTAATATAGATTCCCACCATTATCGGCCAAGGAAAGGCGGTCTGGCCTTCTGAGGAAGCATACACGTGTAGCACCCTCCTAGGCAGCTAGGGGGAGTTAGGTCCTAATTGTCAGTCAGGAGGACTGAGTATCAGCCTGGGAGTGATAGCCAGGTGGGTCATATTGAGGTCAGAGCTGAGAAGCTCCGCAGACCAGCTCTCTGAGACATCCTCCTGCATTAGAATTTTGGAGAAAGATCTAGAAGCAGTGGGCGAAGGTGAGGAGTGGCTGGTCTGTACTCTTAGAGGATCCCCAACAGGAGGCTTGGCAAGGGGCCCAGACAGCCCTTAAGAGTAACGTAGCCTGCTCAGCAGTAGTAGAGTTTGGGTGGAAGATGGAAAGGAAGTGAAACTGAGAGAGCAGGAGCCTGGGAGGGGGCCCAGATGGGAGCGGGGCTCACCTACAGGTAGAGGACTTTGGAGAGAGGAAAGCTCAGGACCTCATTGGCCCCCAGTGCAAAGACCACCTGTTGAGCAGGGAAGGAGCAGCCCAGCTAGAAGGCCTGGTAGCAGTCACCGACCCACCAGCAGCACAGAAGAAGGACTGAGCAAGTAGAGCTGCACCTCCTGGGCCAGGTAGGGGAAGGAGCACTCTGGTGGGAAATCAGATTGGCAACTACCTGGGACTGTCTTCTTCAAGTGACAGACACTGGATCCCCTGCCCAGGGATTCACCCGGAACAGCTGGATTAGGAGAATCTGGGCTGGGGTGGTACTATAGGAGATGCTGGCTAGCTCTTCAAGAAGATGTGTATATAGTTCCAGGAAGTTGTCCTCCATTTCACAGTTCCATTGGGCATCCCATACACCCCTAACCCTGTCCCAGTTCAAACCCCCTAATAAACTTCAAAACAAAGCTCATGGACTGGTTACCGTCTCCTGGATGCAAGTTAATGTGAAATTTCAATTTTCCATGGCTGTGCAGGACTATAGGGGGACCCAAAACTTCTGCGACTCCTAAGGGGGTAGAGCTACACACACACATTCACAACCAACACTTAACATCAGCGCAGCCATTATGAATATATCATCACAAAGATTAAGGGATCTAGTTTTAGAAAAATGTACTGTGCAAATGTCTCAAGTATTCGCTCAGCCGGCACAAATGATCCCTGTATATTGCCTAATATGTTTATTTCCTATGACTGTCAGCTCCATCTAGTGACCAGAACACAGTATTTCCATGATTGGGGTATTACAGGAAAATACGGCATTATGGCCACTAGATGGAGGTAGTAAACATATTAGGCAAGTTATGGGGATTATTATGATGTCTTCCTTTACAGGATAAGTATACTTTCAGATAAAGGACAGTTGTCGTTCTTATTTAAAGAGACATGATTTTTATGTTCGTAATGGAAGTGAAATCCTTCATCCTCTAGCCACGCATTGATCATGGAAGTGTTTTACCCCCCCCCCCCCCAGGACTGAATCTGGACGTCTATGAGGGACAGATCACAGCGTTACTCGGTCACAGCGGAGCTGGAAAAACCACCTTACTGAATATTCTCGGCGGGATGTGCGGAGCCACTAGCGGTGAGATTTTCCTTGTGTTCTATACTTTACATGTCCATACATGAAGGTCTAGGTATGACCTCATAAGCAGCTTATTTCAATCAAAGGCATGCCTAGTTCACTTCTATATTAAATATATTGCATATCAATAATTTGTTTACTCATTTTAGGACAACAGGTGGGGTTCTGGGGCTGCCTTTCATTGGTTTTTCAAGCTATTCTCACTGTTCTTATCTTCTCAGGGGCGGTCCTTTGACTAACACCCCAATCCCATAGCGTGTGGAAGGCTATGGGAACTTTAATGACTTTATAACTATTTTTGTACACTTGAAAATAACCTGAATGAAACAGAGTCTTAAAAAAATGTATACCATTTAAAAAAACTGGCCCCAAACCATTAGAGTTTCCCCAGCTCCTATCTTGTAGAGCTTCAAAAATCCCCAAATGTGGGAACACTACGAATACCACATCTGGAAACATCTGAGAAATGGAAACCATACTGCTGCTGAGCAGAATGAGCAATGGTGTCATTTTCTTGCAGTGCATTATGGGTACATGACCTCTGATCTGTTGATAGGATCATAATCAATCTCTGCAATACATATGGAGGCTCAAATATATGTTTTGGATGGAGATGGCCTTTAACTTCTTTCTTCCTTATTGTAGGATCTGCCAACATCTACCACCATCCTCTATCAGACCTCAGTCTACGTCAAGAGATCCAGAGAAAGATCGGCTTTTGTCCGCAGTTCGATGTCAACTTTGAGCTTCTAACGGTGAAGGAGAACTTGGAGGTTTTTGCTCAGATTAAAGGAGTTCCTAGGAGTAAAGTGAAATCCGAGGTACAAACCCATGTGGATATGAAGATATACATCAACAATAGACATCCTAAAACGGAAGGTTTGGATTCTTGCTGACAGGATTTATTTTATAGGTAGAAAAGGTCCTTTGTGACCTGGACATAGAGAACATTCAAGACCTGAGAGCCAATAAACTGAGTGGAGGTCAGAGGAGGAAGCTGACCCTGGCGATTGCACTATTAGGAGACCCCGAGGTAATCTTCTCAGTAATCACTTTTTAGATCCATTAAAAAAAACAAACACTTAGGGGCGAGTTTGGAAAAAAAAAATTGCCCCTCCTTTTAGATCCTGTTGCTGGATGAACCAACGGCTGGCCTTGACCCGTTCTCCAGGCACCGTGTATGGTCTATTCTCCAAGAGCACAAAGCTGGCCACATCACTCTATTCAGCACGCAGTTCATGGATGAAACCGACATCCTTGCAGGTTCGGTGTTCTATGATTTTGTTGTCCACCTTTCTGTTGTAACATAAATGCTAACTTGTTAGAAATTCTAATCCATGTCTGACCATTGTCTTCTAATTTGGTTGCAGACCGCAAGGCTGTGCTCTCCAACGGGAGGCTGAAATGTGTTGGTAGTTCTTTTTTCCTAAAGCGGAAATGGGGTATCGGGTATCACTTGAGGTGAGCATGGAGGCATGAAGCTGTATGCAATGCTTTGTGACTCACAGAAGATATGCGCCAAGTATAGAATTCCTCAAACAATTCTAGGGCTAGGTTTCACCTGGCCAGGCCTCATATCTGAATTTTCAATGAAGGGTTAGGATTCATAAAGATGTTTCTGTAACATTTAGATTGTGGTGCTAACAAAAAGGGCCTCATATCCAAACCTTTAAGGAAGGGTTAGGTTGCACCAAAAACAACACCTCTAAACTATGGTGCAAACACAAAGGGCCTCATAACTGAACGTACACTTAAGGGTTTGGATTCACCAAGCAATTCCTATAACATCTAGACTGTAGTGCTAACACAAATGGCTTCATAGCCGAACCTTCAAGGAAGGGTTAGGATTCAACAAACAACTCCTCTAGACTGCAGGGCAAACACAAAGGACCTCATACCTGAACCTTCAATGACATTTTAGTTGACTGCAGTCACCAGGTCCAATACTACACTACAAGCACAGAAGACAAAGCCCTGTTGGATAGATGAAAATGCAGAAACTTTGATCCTGTGGGTCGATGGGACTCATACAGAGCCAAAAAAGGCAACTAATGTGAAGGCTTGAGCCTTCAGTTCTTGTGGTCATATTGGCACAGACTAACCATCCACCAACCTCATTATCTTCTATAGCAGGTAGCCCTTTTCAAGACTAACATTTGCACCTTGGAAGGGTTATTGGTACAGGTGAAGGATCCATGTCCCTCAGCAGTGTGGAGAGTATTTTAGTGCAGGGGCGGACTGACCATTTGAGCACTCGGGCACTGCCCGAGGGCCCGGGTTCAGTAGGGGGCCCCATGAAATGCCCCTGGTACCTTTTATAGGCTTTTTTGGGTGTGCTTTGAGTGTGGGCAAGGACACAGGGGCCCCATGATCCCCTATAGCCCGTGGGCCCCATGAGTTGTCACTCCGCCCCTGTTTTAGTGATACAATTTGTCTGATAACATAATACTTATTTTGTCTTTTTTGGGAACACAGGATGCAGGTGACCCCATCATGTGACACAGAGGCCATCACATCACTCATAAAGCAGCACGTCTCCAGTGCCAAACTCAGCACACAGAATGTGGAGGATTTGACCTTCACCCTGCCATTCGAGAACATGGATGCCTTCCCAGGTATGGGGCACATGTCATGGTCTGGAGGGTATAAAATAGACGTTTGTTGTGCATTCATATGCAGTAGATTCATAAATCAAAGGGAAAAGGAAGCAGAGAGTGCAAAGACCAGGAGCATGGAGCTATGGGTACTGCAAAGCTCCTGCCACATTTTTAGAAGTTGTATGTCAGAAAAAAAACAGCAGGTAGGTCGACTCTGGGTCAGAGCTGAGAGGCTCTGCAGATCAGCTCTCTAGACCTTCCCTCTGCTCTAGAACTTTGGAGAAAGGTCTAGAAGCAGTGGGTTGATCTGAGGATTATCTGGTCTGTACTTAGAGGAACCTGGCCAATCCCCAACAGGAGGCTCGGCAGGGGGTCAGGACAAACCTATAAGAGTGAGCCTGCTCAACTGCAGGAGAGTTTGGGTGGAAGATGTGAGGGCAGGAGGAGAGTGTGGAGCCTGGGAAGGGGCACAATAAAAAGGGGCCTGCCTCCAGGTGGGATCTGGAAAGGGAAAAAACTTCTCACTGGCCCCCTGAGAGAGAACCACCTGTGGAGCCCGGGAAGGAGCCAGCTCAGCACAATGCCTAAAGGCAGCTACCGACCCAACAAGCCTGCAGGAGAGGAATAGTGAGTACTCCTACACCCCCTGGACTAAAGGAGGGGAGAGGGCATTTGGGTGGGAACCTAACTAGCTCCCGACTGGACTGTGCCTTAAAGCTGCAAACTCTGGATCTCCTTTGGCCAGGGATTCCTCCAGGCAGCCAGAAAGAGGAGCTTCTGGGGCCTGGGGTGGTACTACTGGAGACGCTGGCTTGCAATCCAGAAAAAATTGATTGTTCTAACCCCTTGTATATAGTTCAGGAAATTGTCCTTGGTTTCTTGGTTCCATTGGGCATCCCGTATACCCCTCACCCTATCCCAGTTCTAAATCCCCTAATAAAGCTTCAAAACAAGCTCATGGACTGGTTACTAACTCCTGAAAGCAAAGTCTGTGTGGAAATGTGTGTTGCCTGGCTGTGCGGGACCATAGGTGGACCCAAATCTTCTGCAGCTCCTAAGGGGAAAGTGCTAGAGGTAAGTGTTATTAATGCATTGCATCAGCAGTTCCCAACTTTTCTTCAATGGTGGCACCCTTTAAAAGTATGCATGACCTGAAGGCATCCCAGTCTGATACATGTAAATGTTACTTATCAATGAAAATAACTTCACAATAGAACCTCCCTTCACATCGGAGGTCCCCCATCTTCACATCAGAGCCCTCCCTTTACATCCTATTCCCCCTACATGTCAGAGGTTCCCCGAAATGTTGAAGTCCCCCAATCATATCAGAGTTACTCCAGTTCACATTAGTAGTTCCCCCCTTCCCATCAGAGGTCCCTCATCAAATCAGAAGCTCCCCTTCATATCAAAGGTTCCCCAATCACATCAGAGCCCTCCTTCACATCAGAGGTCCCTCATCAAATCAGAAGCTCCCTTTCATATCAGAGGTTCCCCAATCATATCAGAGCCCTCCTTCACATCAGAGGTCCCTCATCAAATCAGAAGCTCCCCTTCATATCAGAGGTTCCCCAATCACATCAGAGCCCTCCTTCACATCAGAGGTTCCTCATCAAATCAGAAGCTCCCTTTCATATCAGAGGTTCCCCAATCACATCAGAGCCCTCCTTCACATCAGAGGTTCCTCATCAAATCAGAAGCTCCCCTTCATATCAGAGGTTTCCCAATCACATCAGAGCCCTCCTTCACCTCAGTCCCCCCCCCCCCCCTTCCCCTTCACGTCAGAGGACCTCCATCACATCAGGGGTCTACCAGTCACATTTGAGCCCTCCCTTTACATCAGTGTCCCTCTTCATGTCAGAGGTCCCCCTCTTAATGTCAGATTCCCCTCATCACATCAAAGTCCACCCTATACATTAGAAGATGGGAGCCCCATCACCGCAGAGTCCCCTTATGTCATCTCTGATGCAGGTCAAACTGGGTCTCCTGCTCACGGCGCCCTGGAGGAACCCAAATGGCACTGTGCTTTCCAGATCTGTATCCTGAAGTTCCCCTTTACCTTTAAACTGCCTACTTTACAGCTCTGTTCTCGGACCTGGAGGGACGTGTTGGACGGGACATTGTAAGTTACGGGGTCTCTATTACCACGCTGGACGATGTGTTTCTGAAACTGGAAGGAGAGGCCGAGATTGAAAAAGGAGGTGGGCGTCGTTTTTATATGTTTTCATATTCCAGAAGTTCTGAGGTCTGAAATTCTGCAAAATTTTAACATAACACAATTCTTAGATTTGCTGGCTATATCTGTTTTCTTTTTTGCTTTATTTTCACCTGTTGATCCTGCCAATAACATATTAACGGATCTCTTTATAATAAAACAAAAAATGCTGTTCAAATGTCTCAGCATGCACACAGCTGTCATGATCCTGAATAATCCCCATAACCTGTCTAATATGTCTGTTTCCTATGATTGTCAGCTCTATCTAGTGGTCATAATGCTGTATTTTCCCCATTGAGGTATTTGAGGAGAATACCGCATTATGGCCACTAGATGGCACTAGCGATCATAGGAAATAAACATATTAAACAGGTTTCGGGGATTATTTGTTATGCCTGAACGAATGCGAAACATTTGCACAGCATTTTTTTTTTAAAATGGACCCCTATCTGTCCCGGGGTGACAATGCTCAATTACTGTTCTGTATCTATTGAGGAACAGTATTGTCACTATAGGACTGGACTAAAGAACGGTTCCCACATTTCCTCCTCTCTGTTGGGAGAGAGGTGTCCTGTAGTTCACAGAAAGAACTCAAGTGGTCAGGCAAAACACTGCTTGAGATTTGGCACATGCAGAGGCAACAGGAATTTAATAGATGGCTGCATTTATGGCAGGATCAACAGGTTTTTTTTTGAGTTCTTACCAAATAGAAATAACAAAACCAGGGGCGGACTGACCATTTGGAAACTCGGGCACTGCCTGAGGGCCCGGGGGTCAGTAGGGGGCCCCATGAGATGCCCCTGGTACCTTTTTCATAGGCTTTTTTGAGTTTGGGAAGGACACAGGGGCCCCATGATCTCCTATTGCCTGGGGGCCCCATGAGCTGTCAGTCCGCCCCTGAACAAAACTCTTCCAATTGTAGATTTTGTAGCAAATAAGAGAAGTTCATTGTTAGGGTTTAGATAGGCATTGACCAGGTCAGGTCAAGGAATATACTGTGTTAAAACTAACATTATTGATACCATCAATCTTACAAGAAAATGCTAAATAATATCTATACAATCAGCGTTTTGCTGTATTATGATTTGTTTTCCATTTTGAATGATCAGATTACGGTGTTTTTGCCCATGAGCAAAATGAACAGGAGGACCAGGATCACTTCTCCTCAGAGCCAGAGGATTCTACTCTGCTGATGTCGGACTCTGGTACGCCCACCATCAGCGGGATGGCGCTATGGAGACAGCAGGTGTTGGCCGTGGCGAGGATCCGATACTTGAAGCTTATCCATGACATAAAAAGCTTTCGATCCATGTAGGTGATATCCTCAGTTTTGGAAATATCTGATGTGGCTGAACAGGGGTATGATATTAGAGAGTTAATCCATTGTGTAAAATTCTACATATTGAGAAGAAGTGGCTTCAGATGGCGTTAGACGATATAGTCACTATGTCCCATCAATCTAGTAATAGCTTGATTGGAACAAAAGCAAATGTTCTAGGCCAACTCCATCCAAAAATGCCAATACAGTGTATGTAGGAGACACCGGGATCCTCCACAGGGCTCTATGCTGGACATTTCTTTCGCATTGAACTGGTCAAACCATGTCTTTATGATCAGATGATCAGGATCACTACTGGTTTTCTAATTCATCTGAAAGGTGTTCAGTAGGGTTGAGGTCAGGGATCTGTACAGGACACTCAAGTTAGTCCACACCAAACTAGCCCAACCATGTCTTTATTGAGCTGGCTTTGTAAACAGAAGACCCAAATCACTGTTGGAGTTCCAATTCACCCCAGAGGTGTTTAGTAAGGTTGAGGTCAGGATTTTGTGGAGGACACCCATGTTCCCCCACACCAACCTAGCACAACCACATCTTTATGGGAGCTGGTTTTGTACACAGAAGAACTGGCTTGCAATTCATCCCAAAGGTGTCCAGTAGGGTTGAGATAAGGGCTCTGTGAAGGCCCTCTAGGTTCTCCATGCCATACTGGTCAGGCAGTGTCTTTATGGAATTAGCTTTGTACACAAAAGACCTGGCTTACAATCAGCATTCCAAATCATCCCAAAGGCATTCATTAGGGTTGAGGTCAGGTCTCTGTGCAGGACACGCAAGTTCTTCTAAAGCAAACTAGTCAGACCATGTCTTTATGGAGCTGGCTTTGTACAGCAAGGCACAGTCATGTTGGAACAGGAAAGGGTCTTCACCAAACTGTTATATCAAGTGTCTACAATGTCTTTGTATGATGGAGTATTACCAGGACCCTTCACTGGAGACATTTGAACTCCATCATCTGTAGGATGGGGCATCTGGGTCCAACTTAGGTTTTCAAGTACAAGGTTACTCCCAACCATACCTATCAACAAAGATTTCTTTCAAATGCAATGTAGGAATGAAAATGAGAGGCTCTGTGTAGTTGTCCTTAATCTAATATGCAGATTGAATTTCAGACTTCTTCTGCTGGTACTGTTCATCCTTCCCCTGGTTACCTCCAGCATACTGATGAACAGTTTTCACACCAAAACCACCTGGGAGCTGACTCCACATCTTTACTTCCGAAGACCTGGAGATCGGGCCCACAGATATTACTCCAATCTTCTGCTCGTCAACACCACTGGTACGAAACATAAAGGGGCCATCATTTTTGGTTATCAAGCTAAAAAAATCTAATTTGGCAAATCAAAAACATTGTCAGACTTAAAGCAGAACTGAAGCAGCGGTTCCTAGAGGTTCCCAGAGCATTTACTATAATCTGCAAGTAGGCTGCAGCTCATAGAGAGTTAGATTAGTTTCCTACAGGTATGTGTGGCCCCTACTTCACTTTTTCACTCCATATGCCACCGTGACCACTTTCTTCTGGTCTGGCATCTTAGGTCCAGTTGAATAATTCTGTTTTCTCATTCTATAGAAGCCAGGGATATACACTGTTGTAAAATACAGCATGCAATATATTCAAAGAAAATTTTCTATATAAGACAGGTAAATCATTTTTTTGGCAGAAGAAACATAAAAAGTCTGTCCAAAAAAAAAAAAGTACTCTTTGGGGTCTACTTATAAAAGCAAAATCATCAAACGTCATGCCAATCCGCTCCATTTGGTGTCTATAATGTGTTATTTTCTAGAAATACCTTAATAGGAAAAAAGATGAATTATGATGGCCGCTACATGGAGCTAATTGTCAAAGGAAATCAACATATTACACACATTGCAGCGATTATTCATGACCGCTGTGCAAATGATTGAGACATTCACACAGCATTTTTTTTAATGGACCCCCATGTGTTTTGTGGATAGTATATTCTCTCTGCAACTCGATTAATATCATACGGCTGCTGTGTAAGTTTAGTGCAGCTTTAAGGAAAAGAAAATGAGTTGAAAAAAGAAACCTGATATCCATTATTGGCGCACAAACCAATTTTCAAACCATTTCAATGAAACCCCAAAAAAATCCCATTGGTCTGCCCATTAGTTAACATTACAATTATCAGTTAACATTATGATCACTAATTGCTTACCATTAGTTATCATTGTTACGAGCAGCTCACAGAAGTCTCTGCATGGGTGCTGTACAACACTGCTGGGATCTAAAGACATAAAGAACCTGCAACCAGGGGCGTATTTACCACAAGGCAAACAAGGCATTTGCCTAGGGCGGCATTTTTCAGGGGGGCAACGCTGCCCCTGGAAGAAGGAACACTCGCTGCATGGGGACCAGGTGGGAGCCAAGATAGCATGCAGGCTGCTTGATGTATGCAGAGCCCAACTCTCATTCCCGGGAATGTCCGGAGCTGTGAGGGTGAGTGTCCATGAGTTTCTTTCTCTCTCTTGCCTGGGAAGGGGGTGGCAGCGGGTGTATGGGGGAGGGGGTGGTATTGGAAGGCTCTCTTGGCCAAGGGGAGGTGGTGTTGGTTGGTGTCAGGCTCTCTCCTTTGGGGGGGGTTGGGTTGCTGGTTGGTGTTATCCTCTCTCCAGGGTTGGGGGGGGGGGGGTGTTGTTGTCAGGCTTTCTCCTTTGGGGGGTGGGTTGCTGGTTGGTGTTGGGCTCTGTCCGCGGTTTGAGGGGGAGATGTTGGTCAGTGTCAGGCTCTCTCCTTTGGAGGGGTGGGTTGCTGGTTGGTGTTGTGCTCTCTCCGTGGTTGGGGGGGTGTCGGTGTAAGGCTCTCTCCTTTGGAGGGGTGGGTTGCTGGTTGGTGTTATGCTCTCTCCAGTGTTGGGGGGGGTGTTGGTTTCAGGCTCACTCCTTTGGGGGGGGGGGTTGCTGGTTGGTGTTGTGCTCTCTCTGTGGTTGGGGGGGGGGGGGGGGGAGTGTTGGTGTCAGGCTCTCTCCTTTGGAGGGGTGGGTTGCTGGTTGGTGTTATGCTCTCTCCAGTGTTGGGGGGGGTGTTGGTGTCAGGCTCACTCCTTTGGGGGGGGTGGGTTGCTGGTTGGTGTTGTGCTCTCTTTGCGGTTGGGGGGGGGGGGGTGTTGGTCAGTGTCAGGCTCTCTCCATTGGGGGGTTGTTGGTCAGTGTCAGGCTTTCTTCGCGGGGAAGGTTGGGACGGCTGATTTTTGTGTTGCCTAGGGCAGCACAAAACCTAGATACACCACTGCCTGCAACAATGTTACTAATGGGTAAAACACATTTCCTGCTATGGGGGTCAACCCTACAACCGCCTGAGAATGTCTCTACACTTAACCTGTGCAAGTACAGTATGTTGCACATTAAGGTGACTTAGATCGGGTGGTCTATGCTCCACCTTTTCTCTGCCATATTCTTCTAGCCTTCTTCTGGTCTGGCATCTTCATTCTTCCACCGCTAGTGGGCCACTAATGCTGGAGCTCCGGTTCCTGTCTCCATTCTCTCATCTTTTAGATGCTGGGAACAAAAACTGCACTGTTCATACAAATCACACACACAAGGAAACATTGCCAACAGACAAGTGAAGAATTTTTTTTATTGGCAGGAGACATATATACTGTCTCTACAAAAAAAACTCCTTGGGGTCCAGTTATAAAAAGTTCACTGTGCAAATGTCTCAAGCATTCACACCACCATCAAACGTCATGATTGTCAGCATTGTTAGTGGCCACAATGCAGTATTTTCCTGAGATACCCCAATGAAGAAAATACCACATTATGGCCACTAGATGGAGCTGCTGATCATAGGAAATAAATATATTACTCACATTATCACATGGCTAACAGTACCACCAATGGCACAAGCAGCTCGCAGAAATCCATGTATGTGTCTTGCTCAGTACTGCTGGGATCTATAGCAATATACAAATCTGCAAAAATGTTACCCAATGAGTAAAACAAATTTCCAACTATAGGAGTCACCCTACAACCACCTCAGAATAATTTTACACTTAACCTGTTCATGTCACTAAGGTTCCTTATACCGAATCCCATAACCTTCCATAATGGTGACTTCCAGTATGTCTCCACATAGGTCTCCCCATTGAAAATCTGGTTCATGGTGTCATGGCTCAGGATATCGCTGTGGATGTTGTGGATGGTCCATATGATGAAAACACTACGGCCTATAACGGCGCTATAGAGATCACACGAGACAATGACAAGGTAATGAAACTTTCTTACAAAGTAACATTTCTCTACTACTAAGGATACTAAAAGTAACCCAACAGAACTGGTTTCTGACCATACTCCTGATGTATACGGCACTGAACCATCACTGATCTATAAAGCAGAAGAGCTTACACTCTACTCTACAGACAGACCAGATTTACACTATACATTTCTATATTCGTTTGAACAAAAACACTATTTTTGATAAATTTATGGGATAAATGCACAGCTAATATCTGTATATTTATAACCCTGAAGAAGGGGGAGCCGATGCCCTGAAACGTCTCGGCTATACCCTTAAGGGTAGGTTATGTGGATGAATTTACTCTCTTGCTACTGAGGAGTTCAACCATTTACCACCATCTTTTTTTTTTTTTTTTTTTTTTTTTTTTTAAGTCCGCAAACGTGCAACTATAACGAAAAAAACCCGTAAGTGTTCACAAAAAATGTGCAAGTGCAAAACACCACACGAAAAAGTGCACTTAGGGGTGTGCTGTGTCCTACCCCTAAAGGGGCTTGGACCGCTTACCCTGATTCCCCGGGGCACGAAGCGCCTGACGGGGACAAGATTCCCAATTGGTCCTCCTGGCCAAAAGGCCTGGTGGACCACCGTTCCTTGTGTCCAGCCGAAGCCGGACATCCAGTACTTGGTCAGGGGGCTCTCCCGAAGAAGGGCCCCCTAGGGATCAGGGGAGGAAGGAACCAAAAGGCCACACATCCTCCCCCTAGACTTCAGGGTAGGCCCGAGGACCCACACCCTCCATCCGTGAAAAACACACACATAAGTAAAGCAAAAAGTGACAAAACGTGGGAGTGAATAAATTAAATAAATAGAAAATAAAAAAGTGGTACCGTGCCAAATTGTGCACAGACCAGGCCCTGAGGCCTGTAGCAAAAATTGCCCTGGACTTAGCCAAAAGACCTGGTCCTTAGGGCGCTGTGCAAAAAGAGTGAAAAACAGTGACCATGTGCCATCTTCACACCGTGGGGTCCCACACCCAAGTGTTACTAGTGACACCCCTGAGGCGACTACTCAGGGGGCACTGAGTTTGTGGACTTTTTGCGTCCCCAGCCCCTGGCCAGACCAAGGTAGATCCGTCCAAATCAGGAGGTACTGGGTCTTTCCAGTCTTCTCGGAGGAATTACTCCCGAGGCCCCAGAACGAATCATGGCGCTCCCCGGTTTCTGTCACTCCGGTACTAGCCTTCCGGACCCCCATCATACCAGTGAGGGTACTATACAACAGCCATCCCCGCAAAGCTAGAATGGCCGGGAGCACCCCCACTGGACACTGATAAGAACAGATACTACACTTGATCTTAGCCAAAAGGCCAAGAAGCGATTTACCACCATTTACCACCATCTTTTTTTTTTTTTTTTTTTTTTTTTTAAGTCCGCAAACGTGCAACTATAACGAAAAAACCCATAAGTGTTCACAAAAAAGTGCAAGTGCAAAACACCACACAAAAAGTGCACTTAAGGGTGTGCTTTGTCCTACCCCCGAAGGGGTTGGACTGCTACCCTGATCCCCCGGGGCACGAAGCTCCTGACAGGGACAGGGTTCCCATTTGGTCCTCCTGGCCAAAAGGCCTGGTGGACCACCGTTCCTTATGTCCAGCCGAAGCCGGACATCCAGTACTAGGTCAGGGGGTTCTCCCGAAGAGAAAACCCCCTAGGGACAGGGGAGGAAGGAACCGTATGGCCACACATCCTCCCCCTAGACTTCAGGGCAGGCCCAAGGACCCACACCCTCCATCCTGTGAAAAAACACACACAAAAGTAAAAAGTGACAAACGTGGGGTGAACGAAAAATAAATAAATAAATAATTAAATAAATCTATAAAAATAATAAAAAGTGTCGTGCCTAAAATTGTGCACTGACCAGACCCTGAGGCCTGTAGCAAAAAAATTGCCCAGAACTTGACCAAAAGGCCCGGTCCTAGAGGCGCAGTGCAAAAAGTATTTAAACTCGGTGACCATGTGCTCATTCACAACGTGGGGTCCCACACCCAAGTGCTACTCAGAGCACCCCTGAGGCGACTACCCAGGGGGCACCTAGTTTGCGGACTCTCTGCCTTCCCAGCCCCTGGCCAGACCAAGGTAGATCCGTCCAAATCAGGAGGTACTGGGTCCTTCAGACGTTCCAAAGGGGAATTACTCCCAGGGCCCCAGCTTAACTTGT